TCTTTTATGTATGATTGGTTATCTTTGCAAGTCTCTTCGATATATCCGTTTGGTTTGGCCAACTAGATTGGTAGTTCTTGCCATGGGAGAAGTGCTTAGCTTTGGGTTCGATCTTGCGGTGTCCTTTCCTAGTGACAGAAGGGGCAGCAAGGCACGTATTGCATCGTTGCCATCGAGGATAACAAGATGAGGTTTATTTCATATTGCATGAATTTATCTCTCTACACCATGTCATCTTGCTTAAAGCGTTACTCTGTTTTTAACTTAATACTCTAGATGCATGCTGGATAGCGGTCGATGAGTGGAGTAATAGTAGTAGGTGCAGAATCGTTTCGGTCTACTTGTCACGAACGTGATGCCTATATACATGATCATGCCTAGATATTCTCATAACTATGCTCAATTCTGTCAATTGCTCAACAGTAATTTGTTCACCCATCGTAGAATACTTATGCTCTTGAGAGAAGCCACTAGTGAAACCTATGGCCCCCGGGTCTATTCTCATCATATCAATCTCCATCAGTTTAATCTTGTTTTGCTTTTTACTTTGCTTTTACTTTTCACTTTGCATCTCTATACCAAAAATACCAAAAATATTATATTTATCAGATATCACTCTCGTAAGTGAACGTGAAGGGATTGACAACCCCTAATCGCATTGGTTGCGAGTAGCTATCATTTTGTGCAGGTACGAGGGACTTGAGCGTGGCCTCCTACTGGATTGATACCTTGGTTCTCAAAAACTGAGGGAAATACTTACGCTACTCTGCTGCATCATCCTTTCCTCTTCGGGGAAATCCAACGCAAGCTCAAAAGGTAGCAACCATGACAATGGCGTGTTTGTGCACGCGCTCTGTGTGCAGTGCGCGCGTCCAGTGGTTGTTTGTGCTGGACCCCCTCCTCTCGTCGTCTTCGTGCTTGTGATCATGTCCCACAACTGGCCCGCGTCGTCGCCGTCCTCCTGGAGCCCTCTCCCCCTCTGTCAGCTCTCGTCGTCGCGCGCCCACGGCGCACCGTGGCCGACCGAGCTTTAATGGCGTTCGGCTCCTTCTCCTCTTGTCCTCGAGCTCGCCCTCGTCTCCGTGATCCCTGCATCAATAGCTCGTCGCCTTCCCTGAGCCCATGCGCGAGCACACGCGTCCGCGGCGCCGGCCGCGTGTCCACGACGATGCCAGCTTGGCCATGCCCTCGCCCGGCTATATATAGCCCTCCCCCGAAGTGTTTGAGCACACCAACGGCCTCCGCACACTCCACTAGCCCTCCCCAGCCCCTCGCCCGAGCCTCTGGAGCTCTCCTCGCTCGACATTGCCGCCATGGCCGTCGCTCCCCTCGGCCTAAATTGGCTCAAGCCCGAGCCTCTCCCCTCCCCCTTTCTCCACCACTAGAAGCCTCTCACACCGGAGATCCTCCCCACCCCTTTTCTTCTCACCGGAGCCCTTGTGGTCGTACTTTTCCAAGTCCGGCCGCCGCCCCTTGCTCCCTGTCGCCCCGAGCCGCGGCTGCTCTGCACTTCCCCCAACGCTCGTGGACCTCTGGTTGGGTGCGGTTTCGCATCCCGCATCCGCCGGTGGCCGGAGCTCGGCCGGAGAATGCCGGAGCCGCCCGGACCGTCGCCGGCGTCCCCCTGCCTCTGCTCCTCTGCTTCCGATCAGGGCGCAGCGAGGAGGAGGAAGAAGACAGGAGCCAGGCGGGCCCCCTCCTTCCCTGACCCCACCTGGCAGCCACTCAGGCCGGCCCCGCGTTGACCCGCCCGGTCCAGCTGGATAAGTGACGGGCCCCACAGCCCGTGGGACCCGCACATCAGCCGCTCAAGCCCCTGCCCCGCCTCTGCCACGTGTTTAAGTGGAGGCGTAAACACTCCAGTACGTTTTCACTTAAAGAAAGCGTACTTTCCCTTTGGTACGTTTCCTTTTGGAGAAAGCGTATTTCCTCTCTGTTCAGCCCAGAATGCATTTTGTTAAACAAAAAGCGTATTTCTAACTTTGCGCTTCTGCCTTATCCACTCAGGGACTTGTTTGTGATGCTATTTTTGCAGAGTCCATGAACTTCAACCCTTCATATCTTTTTAACCACAACTCCAAATGAGGTGATTCCAAAGCCCACTTCTTCGTTTCGTCGAGCCCGTTCTGTTGGTTTCATTTTCACTATGGTTTGACACTATGAAAATGACCTTTTTGCCCTTGCACGTAAACAGCCCCTCCGAGAGAGAACTATTTCCGGCAAATCTTTTTGCGGCTTCACCGCATTTCTCCCCGGTGCCTTCTTCATCCCCAGGCAAGCCACAATACCCACTTGCATGATAGTCATGCAGTAGCCATGGTTTTCAACTTGAATATTTATTAAATGAGTGCTTGTTTAAAATATGGTTATCGTTGTTTCGGAAATGCTTCTGGGTTTGTGCTTACTTGTTTGCTATGTTGTTATGCACCTAGTTATCATGCCCTACTGGTTGCTAGTATTACTATCATATTGCCATGCTTGATAGTAGTACATGTTGGGTTGGTCATGCTCTTAGGTGCATGACTAACGTCGGTTACTGAGTACTGTTAATAGGCATTGTTCCGTTGTTGTTAGTTGGTTAAGTGTTACTCGGTGGTGTTATTGATAAATTCTTGCATGTTATTTATGGATGATGCTAGTGGTATATTAATCTATCGATATCCGTGCCCGCGGATAAGGGCCCAGTTCGTGTCGGTCCCACCGTGAGTCAACACTATTAATAATAACTTGATTAATAACAACCCCGGTTCGAAGATGAGATAAGTTGGTTGTGATCACCGTAAGGATCACAGGCCAAATATTGGTCGTGGTTGTGATCGCCGTAAGGATCACGGGCCAAATATCGGTCGTGGTTGTGATCTCCATAAGGATCACGGTTTGAGACCAAGTATTGGTCGTGGTTGTGATCGCCGGAAGGATCACGGTGGTATCGAGGATACCGAGTTGTTGGATATTTGTGATGTTGTGCGAGAATCATGGGTAAAGATCAAGCTCCTTGTGGTCATTTAATGATTACTACGGTATTGTTTATACCAAGCTTGATTTGATCCTGAGATGATCGTGTGATGTCCGAGGTTGGTAAGTGCTGCGTGTGATGGTTACGAGATAACCCGAACAGAATAATTGGCGCATGTAGTGTTATCATGTTGCATGCTAGTATCATCAGATTCATATGTTCATGCCATGCTCATATTGTTCTAGCGGTATCATGTTCATGTTGCCTTTGGATTCTTAGTGGCTATTATGATTATTTTCATGATGGTAGCTGGTATTATTTTGGGAGTACTACTTTGGATGTCATGTTGCTCATGTCATGTTGTTATGATGATCTCATGTTAATTCCTGTTTAACTTGTAATTGCCATGATGTTGTTTGTCTTGAATGCTTCTGGATTATTGTGAGCTTGCAAGTACATTCAATGTACTGACCTGGCGTGTCATGCCAGCTTGCAGGTCGTGTCTGGATTGCTTGACGGTTTGGTGTTGTTCCTGTGTTCACGAGCTAGGATAAGTGTTCCAGCCAGAGTCCCTGCGGATTGGAGTCCATTACCACCGTCGTCATTCTTCCGCTGCCAGTAGTTTTTCCGCTGCTAGAGTTATTCCGCTGCTTCGAGTTGTTCTGTTGCTTGCATAGGGCAACTGAGGATGGCGTAGTGTCGCCGTGCCGATGTTATTCATTGTAATATCGGAAACCTTGTAGTCATATCTGTGTAATAATAGAAAGCTGGTTTGTTCTATGCTAAGCAGTGCCGTATTTCAGAAGACTTCTCCTCGATCTCTGGGCTGGAATACGGGGCGTTTCGGTTTCTCTGAGCTAGGGTGCCACAACCCTGTAGGACGAGCGGTAGTGGGAGCGGCACTAGGGGCGGTACTACCGCTGCTACTACCGCTCGGCGCTCTGTTCTCCCCTCTTGCCTCTATTTTCCTCAACAACTGTAGGAAGCGGTAGTACCGCTCCTGGAGCGATAGTACTGCTTGTGTGCGGGCTGAGAAGAGCATGACGATTGGATTTGTTCCCCGCTATAAAAGGGGGTCTTCTTCCTCATGAAGAACTACCTCTTCCTGCCCTAAACTCCATTGTTGCTCCAAAGCCCATTTTCACCCGATCTCTCTCCCTAGCCAATCAAACTTGTTGACTTTCTAGGGATTGGTTGAGAAGGCCCCGATCTACACTTCCACCAAGAGAAATTTGATTCTCCCACTAATCTCTTGCGGATCTTATTATTCTTGGGTGTTTGAGCACCCTAGACGGTTGAGATCACCTGGTGGAAGTGTAGCCGATCTAGAGTGTTGTTTCTCAGTGAAGGTGCGCATGATGATGACATATGATGATGTACATTTTGTGGTAGCTAGGGCTTGAAAATTGTTGCTGGCTTGCATATTTTGATGAGGTGGTATATGCTAACCGTAGGACACGAAACAAAAAAATAATTGTAGCCCAGCCTTTGAAAGATGCTCATAAGAACAGTGTATCTGGGTATGTGTACATTCCATCTCTCTCTAAACACACTTGAAGCACCTAATGCCGAGATGCATCAAAAGAAAATACAGATTTCTTCCGGCACTTCTGTAATGGAGCAGTATCATGCTACACACAAACAATTGCACTCCGATCATAGACAGTGGATTTATTATTTAGCATGTTGGAAACACTAGCAGAGTAGCAGTAGCAGTGACGGTATCACAATGCACGGATTGTAGTGTCTCCATACACCGATTTCTGAACATCTAGCACTTACACATTTACATTTCCAGTATGATTCCTCGTGTCTAACAAAACGGTATCCGTCCAAACAAGCAGGAAACTCAAAAGATGAACGCTAAATTACTCAAAACGAAGAGACTCAGACGACAACAAGACCTGGCTTGCTAGCATGAGGAAGCAACCTTTTTAACGGTATATGCTTATCATGCGTTAGCAATCAGGCTTGCAGAAATCCCATATTGGGACGTTGCCAGTCAAACGGACGCCGTATTTGGTACAGGATGTTCCCAGATGAACTAGTTGTCAGACTTCGGAGGATCCTTCTTCTTCCCGTAAGTTAGGCCAGTGTCCTGGTGACATTACATGCAGTAGTAGATAAGGAATCAACTTGCAGAACCAGTTGATGGAATAGCTTGTTGTCTGGGTCTCAGGGATCTAGTGAAAGTGAAGATACAAAGGTTACCTGGGGGTCAGGAATTGGCCTCCGTTTCTCGACATAACGGTATGGATCCGAGGCAGCAGCTAAAGCAGCTCGTTCCTGTGAAAAAAGGCATATACCATTATCAACAGAGTGGAAAGAAAAATCACCAGATTAAACATAATAGTAAGAGTGGAGAAGCGTGAAATATCAAGATAACACTGCAGCAATTTGAAGTAATTTGGTGCAAAAACATCGGTGGATGAAATGGAACGAAAACAGACAACTCTATAAAAGAAAATTTCAGATAAAGAAAAGTAATAAGTACTAACTGCTTATCAGGATAGATGAGACATGAGTAACTGCTAGAACATTTGGTTCTTTTACTTGTAGATAAATAAGGGTGCCTTACAGGAGGATGAAATTCCTAAGTCACACTTTTGAATAGAACAAGTGACTGTTTAAAAAGGACAACACGCAGCAAGAGGCAATTCAGATTATCATTTTCAATATGGTGGATGCAAGAGCTGAACATAGCTGTCCCACTTTTATAAGAGCATGCCATTTATTCGCTCTATTTGGTTTGACAGTAATAATATTTCCATGAATGAAGTGTTTATCAAAATACATCATCAAATTATTCTTGTTGGAAGAAGGCCATATTAAGATTCACAAGTTTAACTTCCCAAGCAACGATAGCTCAACCATGTAAAATGTCATGACAGACACTAGCCGGCTGTAATTTTAATGGTGTTTCCTATGGTTTAAGTTTGGCAGATAAAATGAAGTTGACAATTAGTCAGTCCCTACCAAAAGCTAAGACAGCAGCATCAATTCCGAGCAAGCCAACGCACAGTTCCTAGAAGTAAACAACAAGCTCTTGATGCCAGCGCCTATACACGCATCATTTCGACAATTTCCTGGAATTAACTAAACGGGCTTGTAGAGATGTGGGCAACTGCATCTTACGGCGATCTCATCCGAGAAAGCGATATGTCCAGACCGATCCATCCAATAGAAGACAATCACAGCGGTAACAAGAATTAGCAAGGGGAAATCGACCTGCTGCTCCTTCTGGAGCTGGCGCGCGGGTCGGACCCAGAGGTAGTAGGCGAGGCTCCCGGCGACCGCCCAGGAGGCGACGTTGGTCCAACCGCGCACGCCGCCCAGCGCGTTCCCCACGAACGACCGCGCGCTCCCGACCCTCCGGCTCCACCCCTTCGCCGGCACCATCTCTAACGCTCTCCGAGACCCTCCCAGGCGGGCGGCGGCCTCTCCCCGAGCGCTTCCTCCTGCGTCGCCGCCGACTCCCGAATCTCTGACCCCTCTCGATCGCCTCTGTGTCTAGTATTGGTCCGCAAGAAAGGGAACGGAATGCTACTGCGCGATGTAACAGAGTGGACGGCCCATTTGACCTACGAAGTACTAGTTGGTCTAGAATTTACCAGACAAAGTCCATGAGAAGCCCAACTCGAGGGCTCAGACAGACACGCCAGTATGTAAAGCTTCCTAAATTGTCTCAAAAAAAATGTAAAGCTTCCTAAATCTCAAAATGATATGTCGGCTTGATCTTTCGGAGGTGCTCATAAAAATAGGGTGTGTGTGTGCATTCATAAGGATGAGTGTATGCGCATGTATATGAGCGCTTGTGTCTGTACTGATGTTTAAAAAAAACCGATGAGAGAGCCTCACCCAAAAAAAAATAACTGATGAAGGAGCCCCTCAAGGGTCATTTGGACTGGGCTTAGAGCGTGTCATTTAGCGTGAACTGCCGTCACGTGTCGCGCTCTGAGTACTACCTTCAAATTTTATTGTTCTTTTCACATGTTTTCAGCTTTTAGATGTTTTTCTCGTTTTTTGGGGCTTTTGGCCAGTCTTTCTTAGCTATTGGACAAAAAAATTGGAAATTTCTAAACAAGAAAAAATGCATTTTTCTTTTTTTATTTTTCTTTCGCAAGAGGTATGAATTTGCTTCCGCTAGACACGCAGTCGTGCCTGTCGAAAAAGGAAAACACGTTTTTTTTACTTTCACGAGAGGCATGGCCGTAGTCAAAAACAAAAAAAAAGTGTTTTTTCCCTTTCGCGAGAGGCACGGGTGTGCTTCCGCGAGAGGCGCGACCGTGCCTCTCAGAGAAAAAAAATGTCTTTTCTTTTCTTACTTTTGTGATAGGCACGGCCGTGTTTCTTGAAAAAAAGAAAAAAAATCTTCTGTGAGAGGTGTGGATTTGCTTCCACGAAAGGCATGGTCGTGCCTCACGAAAATATACAGAAATAGATGTTATATTTTTTTCATTCGCAATAGGCACGGGTTTGCTTTCACGAGAGGCATGAATTTGTTTCAGAGAGGCATGGCCGTGCCTCTCGGAAACGAAAAATAATGTGCCTTTTTTCTCACGAGAGGCATGGGTTCATTTCTTATGGAAGCACAGATTTGCTTCCGCGGGAGGCACAGTGAAAGGAAAAAATATACTCCCGGTTCGTATTTTTGCCTAGTTTTTTGGTCTGGTTTTTTGTGTGAAGAAAAAAGTTCGTCAAAACATATTCACATGGGATCTAAATTTAAAAATCTCAACGCGAGGAATCCAATGATGAAAATTATTCAAGATTTGGATGCACAGTTTAAAAGATAAACGGTTTTGAATAAACGGATCTACCAAAAAAGTTGCGACAAAGTGACGCATATAGTGCGCCATTTTGTCGCAACATGAGGAGGTGGGAGTGATATTTGCAAAAAATTAATCTTAATTAGTGATTTCGCAAGGTATATCATGGAACGCTGATTGTTTTCCCCTTCTCGCTTCATTAAATGGTCGGCCCGTTCGTTTGCTCGCTGCTTTCGATTAGTTCGTTGTTCCATTCTGTTCGTGTTTCTTTCTCATTCTGTTTTCTCTACTTCTTCAATTGCTTTTTTCTTCTGATTTTATTGCTTTTCATCGTGTTTTTTGTTTATTTACCAATCACTACAGTTTATCTTTTTATTCACCTGTTTTCTTTTGGGCTTTTTGCTTTGCTATAAATTTATTTATCTTTTTTGTTTCACCTTTTTCTTTCGGTTTCCTTTCATTCTTCTTTATAGTTTGGTTACCTTTGTTTATTTCTTCGTTTTCTTTTGTTTTACTTTTTTCTATTTCTTTTTTTGTGGATTATTATCTGTTTTATTTTTTGTTTAACACATGATAACTTATTTCACACATTCAATAATTTTTGAATACATTGGAAATATTTTATTTTTGAAATACATGATTAACCTTTTGTCGGGGGCGATGCTGATTCCCGCCAACACCTATGGGGACAGGGCCCCTTTCGGTTCGGTGGGGGCGGAGAGCGCACAAAGAGCGGATCGGGGCAGTGCACGCGGGCGATTTTACCCAGCTTCGGGCCGCACGGATGCGTAAAACCCTACTGCTGCTTGTTTGTGTATATTGGATTCTTGCTCGGGAGCGATGGACGCTGCCAGACTGAGCGTGAGAGTGTTCCTGGTGTTGAACGAGCCGAACTGGCCGAACCTCTGAACTTCCGAACCTCCGAACCCTTTCTACGTTGCGCTTGGGCCTCCTTTTATACTCTCAAGAGGTCACCGACAGGTGGCAACGTAGACTAGAAGGGTAAAAATGAAAAAGGATGCGGTAGGTGCAGCTACCGCTTACTGTGAATACAGTGCTCCCTACCTAACTCTGACGGCAGGGGACAAGGGCATTAAATGCCTGTCTGAGTCTCCTAAACAGTGCAAAAGGTGACCGTTAGGAGTGCCACCGTTTGCCACGATGGGCTTCTCTTCATCTCCGCTTGCCACCACGTACCCCTAACTGCACGGCCTCCCGCCACGTGTGCTTGGGAGAGTCCCAGAGCGACACGTTAGCAGGTAAGCTGGAGAGCGGGCACGAAGTGGGGGTTTCCCGCGGCAAGCTCCTTGTCGCGGCTGTCGTCTTATCGCGTCCGGAGGCTTGTCGCTCGCCGGATCTTGCCGGGACGCAGGGCGCGTCGCGGCAAGCTTTCTTGGTATGTCTTGAGTGGCCTTCCCGGCAAGCTCCTCTTGCCGGGGTCTTGTCTCTTCCCGGCAAGATCCTCTTGCCGGGGCCTTGGTTGGCCTTCCCGGCAAGCTCCTCTTGCCGGGGCCTTGGTTGGCCTTCCCGGCAAGCTCCTCTTGCCGGGGCCTTGGTTTGAGTACTTTGTTTTTGAATGGTCTTCAAGGGAACCACGGAGGGTCCTGGCGGTCACCCGGCAAGCCTTGCCGCGGGGCGCTGCAACTGCCCGTGCACGAGTTCGGGGTAATAGGGTACCCTTACTCTAGTACACCGACACCTTTTTGAAAACCTATATAGTTTATGTCTATTATTATCATACACATTGTACATGTTTTGGTATATATCTAACAAATTTTAAAATAAACATTTAACATTTTTAATAAAAGTTAATCGTTATTGAATACATGATCAACATGTTTTCCGTGCTCATTTTAAAGTTTTCAAAATGCTTGAATAACATTTTTGTACTTATACGATCAACTTTTTTTTGAAAAATTCTCAATATATTTTTTCTATACACATTTAAGGTTTTTAAATGCCTGATTAATGTTTTTCAAATACAAGACTAACATTTGTTTAATACATTGTTAACATTTTTTCTATACACATTTTATATTTTCAAATGCTACATTCATAGTTTTCAAATACAAGATTAACATGTTTTGAATACATGGTCAACCTTTTTTATATAAACATTTAACATTTTCAAATGCTTGGCAAAAAAATTGAATACATGATTAACTTTTTTTAGTAAATGGTTCACATTTTTGAATACAAGGTCATTTTCTATACAAATTTAACATTTTTCAAATGCTTGATTATAAACTTTCAAATACAAGATTAACATTTTTCTCAAAAGCTTGATTAACATTTTTAAACACATGATCAACTTCTCTCATACGCATTTGTAATTTTCTGTACACATCAGAACATTTTCTATATGGGCATTTTATCATTTTTCAAATGCTTGGATAACATTTCTTTCAAATATATTTTTCTTGTAACATACTCCCTCCGTAAAGAAATATAAGAGCATTTGGATCACTACTTTACGAGGGAGTATTTGTTTAGAATATTTAGAATTATGAACAAGATTAATAAAAGGCCAAAATTAAAACAAAAAGTTGTGGCGTCCCGCGCGCCTGGTCCGGCGCACCTCGCGCCTCCTTCAGGCGAGTCTTCCCTCGGTCTCGATAGAAGCAAGGTATAGCTGCGCCCAGGGACGAACCCAGAGCCCACTATGTCTTACTTTATGCGAGACAGTAGCTCAGCTCTACTACAAGGAGCCCACTACGAGCCAGGTAGACGTGTGGTTTTGTCACGCAGACCCCAAATACATGTTCTTTTACTATTGCTTATATTGTAAAAAATATAAATACATATATCTAAAAAAGAATATACTTATTTAAAAAAATGTTCATGTAGTGTAAAGAATGTTGTTGCAATTTTTAGAAAAGTGTTGGTATCATTCAAAAAAATGTTTGTGACATCTAAAAAATGTTTAAATGTCACACATTTCAATAAAATGTACATAAAAATATTATACAATTTATAGTAATGTTCGTGTAATCAAAGAATGTTACTACCTCTATTCCTAATTATAAGATTTTTTTCGATATTTCAATAAGGACTATATATGGACTAAAATGAGTGAACAAACATACCAAAACGCGTCTATATACATCCATTTTTAAAAAAATGCTAGAACATTTTACATTCTGAAACGGATGGATTACATTCTAAAAAATGTTCACTCGTTTCAAAAATATGTTTATATAATATAAAATAATGTTTGCATGGTGAAAAAAACTGTATCATTCGAAAAAAATGTTTCATCTTGGATTAGAAACATGTTTAAAACATGTACAGAAAAATGTTTCAAACATGTATTTGGAAAATGTTAAACGAATGTAAAAAGATTTTTTAGATGTGTATGAAAATGTACAATGTGTATGAACTATATTTGAAAAAATATTAAGTATGTATAAAAACTATTCCTCATGTGTACAAAATATGTGCAAATGTGCAATTTGTATGAAAAGAATCAGACATGTGTTAAAAAAGAGGAAGAACAAAGAAAACTAACATAAAGAAAAACCAAAAAAATAAAAAGGAAAACCCAAAGAAAATCAGAGTAGACCAATTGAAAACAGTGAAAAAAATGATAATAAAAAAACTCATGCACAGCTACAGTATTGGGTTCCCTAC